GGGCGACGCGGTCCCATTTTGTTCATTGTTAAACAGAACATATTAACCATGAACAAAAGATTGATAGCGTTCAAGTAAGGTCAAGCTATCTTCATGCTTCATCTTGGTGCCCGAAGAACATATTAACCATGAACAAAAGATTTATAGCTTTCAAGTAAGGTCAAGCTATCTTCATGCTTCATCTTGGTGCCCGAGGTTTCAATCTTAGGGATAAACCAAATTGGAATATGAACATCTCCCTGATGAGCCTGAGCCTGAGCACGAGATGTTCCCTGAGCCAGAGCCGGAGCATTGCCCTCATCCTCCGCACTAAGGTAACAATGAACAAAAGATTGATAGCGTTCAAGTAAGGTCAAGCTATCTTCATGCTTCATCTTGGTGCCCGAGGTTTCAATCTTAGGGATAACCCAAATTGGAATACGAACATCTCCCTGAGCCTGAGCCTGAGCCTGAGCCTGAGCATTGGCTTCATCCTCCGCACTAAGGTAAATGAACAAGGGATTAAAATTTTCCAATGTATTGAAAGGATCAACCGTACATACCAACTAGTTATAGAAATGCATAATATACTAATTAGCTTAAAACAATGTAAAACCCAAGAAATAAAGCAAGCCTACAAATAGCCACCAATTATATACACGATGTTAGAAACCGATCGACAACTAAACATTGATTTCAAATCCCAAAAAACAAACCTAGGCAAAGCAAGAGTCTTGAAACGGAAAATATACGATGAGAATTATGTGTAGACTTAATTGCAACACTTGTGTTACAAAAATTATCTAATTGTAAAGATCTTACATCATATAATCACTGGTGTTCGCCTCAGCCTCAGTCTCAGCCTCATTCTGAGCATTGTTCCGAGCAAGAGACAGAGCACGATCTCCGTCACTAAGGTAAATGAACAACATATTAAAATTTTCCAATGTATTGGAAGGATCAACCATACATACCAACTAGTTTTAGAAATGCATAGTATACCAATTAGCTTTGTAAACCCAAGAAATAAAGCAAGCCTACAAATAGCCACCAATAATATACACGATGTTGGAAACCCATCGACAACTAAATACTGATTTCAAAGCTAGGGACTAAAAACAAACCTAACCAAAGCAAGAGTCTTGAAACAGATAATATACGATGAAAATTATGCGTGATTGGATAGACTTAATTGTAACACGAGGTCTTACAGTAGAGAAATAAAGGTGCGCGGTGATATGTCCTCATACCAAGCTGCTGATTCAGAAGAGGAGCAGGTTGCTTCCAAAGAGGAAAATGGTGCTGCTTCCGAAGACAGCTCCACATTCACAATGTGGTCTGAAGAGCTCGGATACGGACTCACATTCTATCGAAACAAGAACTTCAGATTATTAGAGAAGAAATTTACATCGGCAACTTGCTTAGATTCAAACATAAATTTCATTGGAACCCTAAGAAAAAATTGGATGAACTTACATGGTTAACTTGTTCGTTATTTTCAGCACGGATTCGAATAAACCAAAAGAAGAGAACTGGACATAGACTGATAGCACATACAGAGAGCAGCATAACAAAAGCAGATTCCAAATCCATTGAAACCCTAAGAAAATATTGAAACCCTAATTAAGAAAGGAGAGCAAAAGTTTTTAGTGTTTATGTAAGTTCAATCACATAAACAAACATCAAATACTTATAGAACCCCACTTTACTCACTGTACTTTACTCTTCACGCCGATTAACCGGACGACGAGTCCGAAGTCTCTGAGAGAAATGTGAGCAAAAGTTTAAAAAAAAAAAAACAATTAATTAAAATTAAAGTTCTTCTTCTTCCTTCGTCTTCTCCTTCTTCCTCTATTCTCTTCTCTTCTCATCTCCATTTCTTCTGTTTCTCATCTTTTAATTCTTCTGCTTCTCTTCCCTTTCTGTTATTTCCTTGATAGGCCTATCCAGGATCTATCAGCCCTTTATATCATAACCATGCAGAATCTCCCTCTACCTCAGAGGATGTTCTGTAAGGGTGGTGAACCCGACCAGAGGAAGAAAGTAAACATCTATTTCGTCTTGAAATATCTGGGCACGGTGAAGAAGGCGTTGGAGAAGCACAAGAAAGAATGGTCACAGCTTTGGAATTCTCAGTTCCGGTATCTGCTTGAGCACGGTGGTGACGTAGCTTTTTCGGTCAAGTTCGCTCATTTTATGCTATCGCGCCAGTTAGTGACGGAGAAGAAGCACGAAATCTGGATGCAATTCGGTGGAGCGCCTATCAGATTCTCAATTCAGGAGTTCTCGGCTGCTACGGGCCTAAATTGTTCCAAACTTCCTGAGATTCCTCAGATACTTACGGATGTGGAGAATTTTGACAAGCATGAGAGTACTTATTGGGACGACTTGATCGGAAATGATTTAGGGGAGATAGATGATGAATGGATAGTAGAGAAGCTGAATTCGAAGGATTTCAAAGACCCTCGGAAAAAACTGCAGCTTTGTTGCTTGCTCCTTGTCGATGCTCTTCTGTGTCCCAGGTCACACGTAGCATCCTATATAACTCATTTATATAGTTTCTATATTACTCAATCACATAGTCACTATGTAGTTGGTTTTTATTGTTTGCGTATGCAATTATATATAGGAATCTAGACAGAAAGATTTCTGAAGTCCATGTTGAACTCGTTCGTGATGTCGAGAAATTCCTCAATTATCCGTGGGGAAGAGAGGCATTCTCACTGGCCATGAACAGTATTAAAACAAGAGGGGCTGAGGGTTTGTGCCAGAAGACCCTTGCTATACAGGGGTTCCTTCATGGAATGCAACTAGCAATGCTGAAATGCATTCCACATATCAAAACTCGTGCCACCTATACGCCCGGAGCAAAGAAGAAGAAGAAAGGTTCCACATATGCAACCACCTCGGACGAGGAGGTTGAGGTTGATGATAACACCAGTCTGAAGCCATTAACCATAAAAATGTCTAAAATCCACGACATGGACAGCAAAGGGAAGGTAATCCGGCTTTGAACACCATATATATGATAGATATAGTTGTCTGTATAGATAAGAAATATATATACTATATCAAACAACTATTTTTGTTTATGTCAGTCCTCTGTGACCGCGACATTGCCTGTAGTGGAAGGGAGTGAGGATGATTTTAAGTTTGATGATGAAGCAGTTGATACAAAGGTGAATAATCTGCTGGAACGCATTGTCAATGGCCCCGCTTTCACAAACCGATGCTGGTCAGGAGGCAAGCATTTCAATGATGTACCTCCTTCTGTTCGACAGGCTAAACGGAAGAGTGCCACTGCTTCTGGTACGGGAACTACTGATGAAATGCATGTAGTTGCTGAAGAAATAGCTGGTACACATAGTCATTTATATCTGCAGTTTATACTATTAGTTTTTAGAATTACTAATAATCTACCACACACAGGTTCTTACCACAAGCAGGCGATGGAGGCCTTGCAACAGGTGGAACTTAGGTTTTTGAAACAGATCGAAGATCTTTTGAAACAGATCGAAGATCTTAAAGCTGAGCTTGCTAAAAGTAAGTCCACTGCCACCGAAAAGGTACTACTCTCCACATCATATACATAGTTTACTTACATAGTTGACTATGCGTATGATTTATAATATTAAACATATGCAGGCACATGTGACGGATGTTGATAAGGATGCACACCCAAACACCGAAAAAGGAGAGAATGATAAGGAAAGAGATCTTTCTTCTAATGATAAAGAGGGTGAAGAAGACCAAGCCTCTCCAACAGATAAGGTACTAGTATCGAACTCATTACACATAGTTTTCATACATAGTTGACTATGCGTCTGATTTATAGGATTAAACCTTTGCAGAACACCGAAAAAGGAGAGAATGATAAGAAAAGAGATCTATCTTCTAATAATGATAAAGAGGGTGAAGAAGACCAAGCCTCTCCAACAGATAAGGTACTAGTATCGAACTCATTACACATAGTTTTCATACATAGTTGACTATGCGTCTGATTTATAGGATTAAACCTTTGCAGACAGCTTTGATGGATGATGAAAACAATGGACCGGAATCAAACAAAGGAAAAGGTGAGGTGTACCATCTTGATTCGTCCCAGGATAATACTGATGGGGAGAATGCTGATTTACGTGATGGTCCTAATGCCATGGAGATAGATACACAGAAGGTCAAATGTAGCACTATAATGAATTTATAGTAATTATATGATTGCACCATATGATAGCTGATGGCAACTACTCCATATATTTTCCCTCAGGTCATCCCTTCTACTTCCGAAATCGCTAACGAGACAATGGACATCTCAACATCTGATGCTGAGCAGTCATTTGTGTGTCCCGACAAGTCAAAAACAAACTCGATCATTCCTCAGAAGAAAAGAACGGCCAAGGCGGTTGACCTGCCTCAAACAAGCAGTAAGGTACAGAAGACATCTACCTCGGAGTCCCTGGACGAAGACAAGTTCGAAACAAGGAAGGAAATACTTGTACGTGACTCGATCCAAGACAACGTATCTGTATCAAGGAAAAAGCTTCTTGTCCTTGATCTTAATGGTCTGCTTGCAAACATAATTGATTTCAAAGAAGCTTCTGATCAAGGATTAAAAGGAACAACACTTAAGTGTAGGAAGATAATGATTAGGAGACCTTTTTGTAAAGATTTTCTCCGATTCTGCTTTGAAAAGTTTGAAGTTGGTATCTGGTCCTCGAGAAAAAAGTAAGACATTACTCATCTCTTCTATATTTAATATTTTTCTTGCATAACAATTAACATAATATGAAAGTTAAAATGTGACTACAATAGATTAACCTGTTTACTTACAGAGCAAACGTTGAAGATATCTGTACGCACTTGCTTGAAGATTTTAAAGGAAAACTGTTGTTTTGTTGGGTATGTGGTTATTTCTTCAATTTATATCCTTGAGTAATTAATTCCAATCGAATATGTTCTAAATGAATTTTGAATTGTTTTGTGATACAAAACATTGGCAGGACATGGATAAGTGTACTAAAACCGAAGCTTCCTGCCTTGATAACAAGAATAAGAAAGTGGTTTTCAAGGATCTAAGCCTGATCTGGAAGAAGGGTGATTACAGTAAGAGTAACACGGTTTTGCTAGATGATTCTCCTTACAAAGCGCTTCTTAACCCAGTAAGTTTATCTACAAAATCATTCATCCTTATACAAAAACAATTCTATTGTCTCATTGATGTTTTAGATATTATGACTGAATTATCTGATTTTACAGCCACATACAGCGATATTCCCTTCCACATACAATCATGGAAACGAGAATGATACATCGTTAGGTAAAAAAAAAGTTGATGTTATCAGTAATTCTTTCTTATATGTTTGATTAATAGTTATATACATCACTATATGTTTTGGTACTTTGTTGTTAATAACAGGTGATGATGGTGATCTGAGGCTGTATTTGAAGAAGCTAGTAGAAGCTGAGAATGTCCAAGAATTTATCCAAAAGAATCCATTTGGACAAGAAGCGATTAAAGAAGGAAATAAAGATTGGCAATTCTACAAGGAAATAAAAATAATTATTGGAAATAATGTGTTTTGTACTGTGGGAGAGATAGTGAAGAGATTAAGTTTGGAACAGTTTAGGTAGAGATATACGTTTTATTTCATTTTGTTAAAAACGTTTGTATTATATGTTTTCATTATCTTGTCATTCACTGATGCAGAAAGTAATCACTGAAAAGAAGCATGAATTAGAGGTAGAGATATACGTATTACTTATTTACTTTTGGCGATGAAACTTTATGAAATATATTAAGTTCTTGTTTTCTAATTTTCTTTAATTGATTTTGCAGAAACTTGAATGGTGTGAGACTTGTGTATGTTTAAGAGGTTTGACGTAATTTTTTTGGCCATGTCCCTCTTTACTAATTGTTTATGTGATTTATGTTTCTCTCTTTAGACAACCAAACTTATCATGGTTTATCCCTTTTTGAAAACCATTTTTATGATGGTTTAATATCTAACCTTTAGAAAGGTAGAAGTTAGAATGGATATTCTCTAACTGAATGATGATATTATCATTTCTTTTGTTGAATATTTATGAAATGTTGATGTTTAATGTTTATCATGAAATGTTGATGTTTAATGTTTATCATGTCTTTTGTTGAATGTTTATGAAATGTTGATGTTTATATCTCTTGAATTGTTGAATTTTAGATTTTTCAGGTTTGGGTTAGAGTTAACCGGTTTAACCGTGGGTTAGAGTTAACCGGTTTAACCGTATTAACCGAATTTTTCTGATTAAACCGAAGTACCCAAAATTGACAAAACAAAATTGAATTTATATAGAAAGTTCGGTTTAATTCAGTAAGAAAATCAATTTCCGAAATAACCGTTTTTTGAACCGAACCGAACCGAATAATAATTCGGTTATTTTTGGTAGTATTTACAATTTCCGAATTAACCGACTATCCGATTATCCGAACCGAACCGACCCGAACTACCCAAAATCGCAGGGCTACTAAAAAGGATAGAATGGGCTTTCAGCCCTATAAGAAGTTGAACGGCCCAAAATACTTGTATCTCCCTCGTTCCGTTGATCTTCTCTCTAACAACACACGCACACTAGATTTAATCGAAACTCGTTCCATCTTTTTTTTCTTATTAACTAAGCGAGAGCTTCTGAAGAAGTGGTGATTTCATCGCCTTCGATCACTCCCTGGTATAGTCTTGTTCTCTTGCTCTTCGCCTTAATTTCTGGTCATGTTTACGGATCTCCTAGGTAGGAATGTTCTTACTGCCTGCATTTATGTGCAAGCTTTTTTTTTTTCTTTTGGATCTCCGTTTTAGGAAATTTTCTCGCTCTTCTAAATTTCTCCCGGAAAATTGTGCGATCTTGTTTGGTTCTGTTTCCTGAATATTACTATGTGCCTCTGATTTCAAGCTATCTCCATTGAATGTTAGCTCCATCATCGCCTCTTCCTTTGTTCCTCATCATGTAAGTTTCCCGAATTTTCGATTCATTTGTTCAAATGTTTGATTCACGAGATAGTGAGTAACGAGACTGTTAGGTTAGGATTCATGGACAAGCTATTTGACACTGATTATCGTTCTTCCTTCTCAGTCCCATGGGTTTATTTTGGTTTGCAATGCTTGAAGAAAGAGAGTGAACTGTAAAGGAAGCAAGGGGAGTTCAAATGTTTGATTTTTAGCTTTTTTGTTAAATTTGGTGTCTGCGAAGAATCATTCTTATCTTGTCCTCTTTATATCTTAATCATGAAGTTTGGCTCAACGGATTTCTAGTTTTTTTGGCATATCATAATCATTCTTATCTTGTCCTCTTTTTCTTTGGTCAATTGGTCAAAGAAAAACATTGTTCAATTGGTCATATGACCAAATGGTCATGGACATGTTATTTGACAGCTCTACCTTCGGATCATCTTCTTCGCTGGTTTCTTAGTTTGAAGGTTGGCATATCATAACATGTTTGGTTTTTTAATTTTGATTGTTAGATTTTATTTTGTTTTGATAGATGAATATGAGTTCGGAATCGTCAATTGGGCCTCCAAAGAAGTGTGCATGTGGGTTGCCTGCAAAGTTTGCCACATCGTGGACCGATAAAAATCCGGGAAGAGGGTTCTTCGGTTGTCGCTAGTTCAAGGTATTGGTAGAGTCAATTGCTTTTACAATCCGAGATTGTGATGGCTTCTTCATACATTTGTGTTATTTGTGTCATTAGAAGGGTAGGAATGATCACTGCGATTATTTTGAGTGGTTCGATCAAGGAGAAGTGGATGGATGGCCAAAGGAAGCATTGATTCGAGCTCGAAATGAAATTCGTGAGAAAGAGAAAGCCATCAATATACTAACTACCCAATTAATGGAACTTCGTCTGGAATTGGAGAAGCATAAAGAGGAGGCCTCATCGGAAACAATTAATGGGTCTGAAAGTAGTGAGGATGAGAAAAATTCTGTGGAACCCAAGGTTGGATGGATGAAACAAATATTTGGAAGGATGTCTGTCTCCGATGCATAAACCGGAACTTTTCTTTTGGAAAAAATAACTTTCTGTGATTCAGAGCGTTTCTTTTGTTCTGTTTATGTAAGGTGTAAGGTGTAGCTCATCCTTAATGTAAGGTGTTGTGTAAGGTGTTGTAAGGTGTTGTGTAGCTCATCCTTCGTGATACTCGTCACTGGTTTGACGGTGTCTTAATGTTAAGTTAAGCTTTTGCGTCTTTCTATTAGTTACAATCATTATTATTGTAAGCTTATTATTATTTGTAGCCGGACTATTGCGAATAGCAAACGCGCCATGAATACTATGTTTTTCGTAATAGTTGTGCTGGTACAACTCTTACCAACATCTCCAAACTTTAGATATTTACATGCATGTGAGCATAATGCAGAGTATTAATTTTTTCTATTTTGTTATAAAAATTAGCTAGGTGTTGTGTGAACTAAAGATCTGAATAAGGATCTGAATAAGGTCTGAATAAGGATTCTTGACATAGTCCTGTGATAGTCGACTACATGCCTCAACTACACTGTGATATAGTCGACTACATGCCTCAACTACACTGTGATATAGTCGACTACATACCTCAACTACACTGTGATATAGTCGACTACATGCCTCAACTATATTGCTTGGTCAATATTCCCCCTCAAGCTTAGACTTTGGAACCACCCAAAAGGCTAAGCTTGGAGAGCTCACTAGCTCCACCTCATTAAAAACATCAATATGGAAAACCACTTGGGACAAAACCACATTGAGGGAAAAAGAGTGAACCCTAAACCGACATCGATGGCGATTCCTATGACGCATGAAGGCAAAAAATAGTAGTAAAGAGAGAAATTAAGAGGTACGTGATCCAACGGTAAGTAAGAGTTATCGATCGCCCAGCTCAGAGCCTTCTTGCTGCACTCCGAGAAATCCACCGCTACTCCGATCCTCCATCCACCACTCTCCGCCATACTTTTCTTTCTATGAATACTGATTAATTCTCTATCTCTCTTTCTCAGCAAAAGTAGCAGTACTCGAAGACAAATGGGTTTCTGATGAGGAACAAGGAACTTTAGTCTTTTTTTTTTTTACGCAACTGTCTCCTTGTATTACCAACAACATAAAGTACACACATATAGTACAGAGCTTACAACGAGCCATGTCAGAACAACAACTGAAACTGTACATCAAAAGTTAACAACATAACTAACATCAAAAGCCTTAGAACTTTAGTCTTTAGACTAGGGATATTGAAATCAACCTTTGATTATGATATACTATTATTCTCTCTGTAATGCTGTCCAGCGATCTGGATTCATCCTCACCGTTGGATGCATTCCACGACAATCGCAGCCTTAGAATTTTAACATCTCACTAAAAACAGCGGTAAAATTAAATTAAAATATCTTCACGGATGCCATATGTAACTGACAAGAGAAGGGTTATCAGGGAATTTGCTGGAAATGAAATTCGAGCTCGGTGTAGTATCAGGGAATATTCTTCATAAAGAGAAGGGTTCACGGTGTACACCTATCCCAAGTTTAGTCGACGAACAAGAAAAAATCTAGAAAAGTATCCATAAATTCAAGAATGTGATCTAGTCGGAGTCAATCTCGACTTCGTCACACTCAGAATGTGATCTAGTGACTAGTCCCATTCACTAACCATTTAGTGAGACGGTTTACTTATCTTAATTACTCAGTTACAATGAAAGAGAAGCTAAATGAAACGGTTTTACAGAAAGAGAAGGAGAAGCTACATGAGAAGTTAAAGACAATGAAAGAGAAGCTAGTGGATCACAAGCTTTTTAGCAACTAGACGGATTCCAGCTTTCTCCTTATAATCATATGGCTCCAAAGACAAGAAGGCATCAAGGACGGTTCCTGGTTTTACCATGTCTTTGAGCTCCTTAGCTTTTGGGTTCCTCAAAATGGTAACTCCAGAGGTCTCTCTCTTGTGTATCTCAGCTGCATACCGGTCTCCAGTTCCAGAAGACTTTGCCGGTATACTGCACAAACAAAGAAACAATCAGGATAAGCTAAGCAAACATGGTTCCTAAATGGAACCAAGAGAAAGAGACATAGACAAACTTACTGAATCCTTGCGGTAGGATGGCTTGAAAATCTTATTGGGATGATTACTGGGTTCCACTCAGAAATGCTGCCTGAATCAATAGATGTTGCATGTGCAGCACTGTCGCATTCTTGCAGTACATTACAGAGAATTGGATACAAATTAACTACAAAGTTCAACTTTGGTCTCCCAGCAGTATCCTGAAATTTAAAATTGATCCCAAAGTGTACTTCCAGACCAGGATCTTTCCTGGTCACCAGTACCCTTAGAGGCAACAATGTCCGTGGGAATTTCCTTCCTCAAAGTGCTCATATCAAATAGATTCGTTTGAGCTTCTGCGTTTGAGTTCTCTCCGGTCTTCCAATCAACGGAAGATTTGTTGATATTCGTACAGTCTTCGGAGTACTCTATAAGTTTAGCGGGAAGATTTGACTTCTGTTGAAAAAGCATGTTTCTGAATTAGTTACATCATTAAAATATATGCAGAAAATCGTGCAGTAGAGTGATTAGGACAAAGCACAAGATAGTCAATCACAAGATTAGAGAGCATACCAAGAACAAGACAGTCGCACAAATACCTGGAGATTAGCAACGGAAGATGATTAAGAAATCGAGATCTATGAGCGCCTCAAGTGCTGCGCCTCTACTGGAGTCCACACTCACACATTTCATTCCCTAAAGATGATATATTTTGGATAATGTATACATGCATGACAGGTTGATTCATCATATGTAAGTCTTTTCAATACATTTCCTCTTCTTTTTTTTACTAGCATTTGTTTTTCGTGTCTTCAAAATAAATTTGAAAAGTTTCAAAAATTAAATAAAATTAAATAAATAAATAAATTTTAAAAATTTTAAACCGAAATCTAAGAAATTACACACCCAAACCGCAAATTATTGGCTATAAGAAAATAATTATTTGAGGCCCAAATTTGGGATATTGTCGAAGCCCAATTAGTTAAAGGCCCGAGTCCGATCTCTTTCCCTCACCGTTTCGTCTTCCCAAATTTGCTCAAATTTGCTCTTCCCGGTCCGATCAAATTCAAAAATTGAATTTTGTCGATTCAGTTTGCTCTCAAGTCTCGATTTGTGCTTTATGTTTGTCATATCTCTGGTGACCTCCCACCGTTAGCTTGATCGATTTGAGAAATTGAACTTGTCAAAATCACATCCGATTTTGTTGGTAATTATCTCAAATTTAGGTGTTTTTAAATCTTTCTTGTAGTGAATTGAACTGTTTTGCAAGATCGTTGGTGGGAATTGAGATTGTTTTGGGTTTCGTTTTGAATTTGGGTGATTCAATGAGTATGAATGTATGATATTTGATTTGGTTTGCTGTAATTTTGTGTGATTGAATAGAAAGTTATCGTCTTTTGTTACTGATTTCAACATTTTAGGTGATATTAACAGTAGGGTATACTGTATACCAATTGGATTTTGTTGGTTATTTTGTTTGATGCTAGTTTGAGTTTCTCAAGATTTAAGTTTTCGTTTTGATGTTACACAACTTGACAGCTTAAGCTAATCAAACTGATCTGAGATATTATTTGTCTTGCTTCTTAGGTTGGTTATTATTTAGTATAGAATCAGAATACGATGGATGAAGATAATAGGAATCCATTTGCAAGTTATTTCAAGTGCAAGTGCAAGAGCAAGTGGAAACTTTGATTCATTAGTTTGTGTCTTTGTGTCTTGTGATTTTGAGTTGTGACTTTGTGTCTTACTGTCTTGTACTCTTGTGACTGTTTTCCTTAAAAATTATATTGTTCTAGAATCTAGACTTCTAGTTATATAGAGTATGAGAGTAATGTCTCTGATTTAATTTTTTTCATGTTTTGTCTTATAACTTTTTCTAGTTCGTAGCTTGTGTCTTTGTGACTTTGTGTCTTGTGAGTAATGTCTCTGATTTTAATTTTGTCTTATAACTTCTACTGTTCTAGTAGCTTTGTTTTTGTGTCTTGTGTGTCAGTAAGTCTAGATCGAGCTCTTTCTGATTGGTTTCATTGAGGAATGTGTTTGTTAGTTTTTGCTCTTGCTATTTCCATCAGCTAAATCTATTTGGACACTGATTTCTGATTGGTTTCCGTCTATTTTTGTATATTACCTGACTTACATAGGAATTTTCGTTTGCATTAGTTTCAAATTCAATGAACTGTGATATCTTGTGCTTTCATGAGGTTTTTGTTGTTCCTTTACATTTTACAATAGTCTATCGTCTTCTCTGTTGATATATAGATCTTGTTAAAAATTCAATTTGGCAAATTTAGAAAATCTTGTAAATGTGTTGTAATGAGTCATTGAGTTAGTGTTCTTGGTTTGTATTTCGTTATGTGAACACATCTCTTTTTATTGATGCATTGATTTTGTCAACATGAATTTGTAGGCAAGATGGAGGACCAGAGAAAACCAATTACAAATAATATGCAACTGGCGAAGAAGTTGCCCATGTGGAAAGTTGATCCACAAATACAAACACTTGTTGAAGCCACGTGCTTCAAACATTTTCTGCGGTTTCACGAAGGAAACTCTGTCAACCAAAATTTGTCACTCCTCACTGCCTTGGCATACTTCTACGATAGAGATGAGAGTGTATTTTCCTTCGGGGATAAGAAGTCATTTTTTGTTGACTTTAGTCTCGAAGATGTTTTATACATAACTGGCCTTTCGATTGACGGGGACCCGGTATTTCTATGTAATTACTATTACTATTTTCCTCATTACTATTTTTCTCACTATTGATTATTGTATTCTCAATTGGGATGCAGGTGACTGGAGTTGAGAATGTCTCTGCTCATGCAATTGCACACGAATTAAATATACATGAAACAGAGGTGGACGAATTATATTTCAAGAGAAAGAAAGCAAAGACAAATGTCCGCCTGGATCTCAATAAGCTGCGAACAAGATTTGAAAAAGTTCCCGAGGAGTGTCTTGACTGTGATGCTTATCTAAAGGCTTACCTGCTGTATTTGTTAGGCACTGTCATAATGCCTAACAATACCGAAGGGGTTTCTCCTATCTATTTACCTCTCCTGGGTAGAAACACAGTTAACAAGTACGCTTGGGGCGCCGCGATGGTGGGATTTCTAAAAAATTCATTGAAAGACACCAAGGCTCTTCTTGATGAGGGGAAAACCGGAAGCATATCTGGGTTTGTTTATGCTATCATGGTAAGGTCTTTATTTAATGAAGTGAAAATTAATTACTTTAATTCATAATACATACTCACAATTCTTCTTCTATGTTACTTTATTGTAGGTGTTTGCTTTAGAAAGGTTTGCATGCGTCCGTGAGGAACTCTCATTGCGTTCAGTTTCCGGTAATCGATGCACATACGATGTCCAGTTACTGTTCTTGTAGCGATCATTTCATCTTTATCATTTTTAATGACAGTGACTCCTCCTTTCTTTGGAACAACATGAATTGGGCTAACCCAAGTGCTATCTGAGATAGGAAAGATTATTCCAGCTTCTAAAAGCTTCATAATCTCCTTCTTGACAACATCCATGAGATTAGGGTTCAGTCTCCTTTGACTTTCGATTGAGTTTTTAGCATTATCCTCTACATTTATCTTGTGCATACAAAGATCTGGAGAGATTCCAGGTATGTCATCAAGTGAATATCCTAAGGCTTTTCTATGCTTTCTCAGCTCAGTCAACAGCATTGTGGTTTCTTCTTCCGTCAAACCAGAGTTTATTTTGACAGGATAAGTAGAATTTGGTCCAAGGAAAGCGTACTTAAGTCCGACGGGAAGAGGTTTAAGCTCGACTTTAGGGGCTTTAAGCTCGCTCCAAAGATCATTAATTGCTGCGACAGTGTCTTTAGGAGGTGTAGGAACGTTTGTTTGGTCCTTAAGATCTAGATAGCTTAGAGGTTTCCTATAAGTTTCAGATTTATCAAGCATACGTGTGCACTCACTTGAAATTTCTTCAAGGAAATTGCGTTCATCTTTTGCGGGTGAAAGCGTGACACTTAAAGGGTCGTCTAGAAGAAGATCTTCATAGGCTTCCTCAATAATTCTGTCTAACTCATCAACCCAACAAATTTTGCCATCCAAAGTTGGTTTATCGAAACTTTTGTTCATGTCAAATTGCATAACTAGGCCGGCCAGATGAAGGTCGATTTTTCCTTCAGAAACATTGATTATGGCTCCGGCTGTAGATAGGAATGGTCTTCCAAGAATAAGTGGATCCTTAGGTTCTTTTTCTAGTTCTAGAACTACGAAATCGGTGGGTATGGAACATTTTTCGATTTCTACAGGAACATCTACTAGGATACCTACTGGTTATCTAACAGAACGATCAGCTAATACTAAAGAAATTTTAGTGGGCTTGAAAGTGTGATGTTCTAAACGTTTTGCTACTGAAAGAGGCATCATGTTTATGCTAGAACCTAAATCACAGAGAGCACGCTCAAAAGCTACATCATTGATGGTGCATGAAAGTACAAAGCTTCCAGGATCATTTTTCTTTTCAGGGATTCAGCTTTGCAAGATAGAACTACATTCATGGGTTATCATCATAATACCTTCTTCAAGAGTTAAAGAATTTGTTAGAATACCCTTCATGTATTTTCTTAAAGCAGGAATCATAGCACAAGCTTCTACGAAAGGTAATTTCACATTTAATTGATCAATCAACTCTTTCAGCTTAGCTTTTTCTTTTTCTTTCTTAGGGGCTCTTAAGGCTCTAGGATATGGAGGTTTAGGTTTATAGACACGAGTTGGTGGAGGTGGAATCGGGTCTTCTCCGAGGATTTCCCGGGATGAATCTTCTCTTACTTGTTCTCCATCCTTCTCTCCTACCACTTCTTTTTCAACATCTTCATTCGTGATTCTTTCTTTTTCTTTCTCCTTTTCCTTACCCTTTTCCTCATCTTCGGGATCTTTAGGAAATTCAGGCTCTTTGTAAGCTAATCCACTCCTAAGTGTGATAGCTTTCACATCATCGAAGGGATCTGCTTCACTTGAGCTTTCGAAAGAATTTTCACTTGGCTCCTCTTCAGATTTTTCTAAGTTTTTAGAAATAGTTTTGGCCATTATGCTAAGGAGGGTGGATAATCTTTCATCGAAATCCTTCTGCATCTCTTTTAGTTCAGATCTAAGATCACTAATCTCTTTAGACCTAGATTTTTCAAGCTCTAAATTCTTTTTGTTTAGGTTTTCAGCTTCAGAAGAGCGAAAACTTGGATAGGAAACATGATTAGATTGAATACCCAAGATTGGTTCAGAAGGTGGTTTCCAACCAGGCTTGGAAGACGTTTTCCCGTGGTCAGGGGGCTCACGACCGCGGTGAATCATGTCTTGGCCGCGGTCAGAACCAGCACGACCGCGGTGAAACCTTGCTTGGCCGCGGTCCGGATGAATGGACCCGCGGTGATCAGAAACGAATGGAAAATCTTGAATTTGATAAACTTCTGCAGTGTTCACCATCTCTTGATCATAAGAATTCATTGGGTTGTCCCAACCTTCAAAGTTACACGTATTGTGTGCCTTGTTTGGTTGTTGCAATCCAAGATGACTCATTATGTGATGGAGACACTTTATAACTTCTGAAATTTCTTCTTTCTTCTCAGGAAGTGCAGAATTACCAAAGGTTACTTGATTTTGGATGCTGTTTCTTAAATTTTTAATGAAAACGTGAGCATCTTCTACAGATCTAGTTGTGAAATCTCCATTACTTGCTATATCAAAAGAGTGTCGCAACTCTGGAGTTATACCGCGATAGAAGATACCTAGCAGGTATTCCTCGGCATATCCATGGTGTGGACAATCTCTTTGGTATTCCCTAAATCTTTCCCAAGTTTCTAAAAGATCTTCATCTTCTTTTTGTTTATAAGTTATTATCTTCTTTCTTAAGAGATTTGAACGATTTCTAGTGTAAAAACGATTTAGGAAAGCAGTTCTACACGCTGCCCACGTTTTTAGTGAAGCAGGTGGCAAAGATTTTAGCCATTTGCTGGCATTATCTCTAAGAGAGAATGGGAAAAGACTACACTTGTGGTAATCCCCATTTGCTGTAATGGTTGCACATAATTCTTCGAACGTCTCGATATGGTCTATCGGATTTTCGAATGAATAACCAGAGAATTGATTTTGTTGAACTAAATGGATATGGGGTACCTTAATTTCGGTTTTGCCATCCTTTGGTAAGGCTGGTTGAATAGCTCTTCGATCTCCCATGAATTTCTCGAGTGAATCAAAACTTCCAATCAGTTCATCATCATCTTCATGTTTTGTCGATCCGATCAGCTCATTGTCATCATAGATCGGTTCTTCAAACTCATCATCAGTCACGTCATCATCGCTTGGATCACCATCCACACGATTTGGTGGATCACCAAGAGTTCCGGGAACATGTTCCCGGTCTCTCATCGCAGAGAAACCTGAAAAATTCAAAAGAAAAAGTAAAAATAAACAAGTGTTCTAATGGATTTAAGCTGGGATTCGCAACGAAACAAATTTAAGTCCCCGGCAACGGCACCAAAAACTTGATGCGAGTGTAAACGCGGGGTTGGTTGTTTTCGTTTTACTAAGCTTTAGGTTTTAAATTTATAACCCCTAAATGTCTGCAAGTGCACAGATGTGCGCTGTAGTACTTAGGGTACCGATCCACAGAGACTTAGTTGTTTCAGTACGAATTCACTCCAACGCTTAAATCAGATTAGAACTAAAAAGGTTTTGGTTTGGGTTTTGGGTTTTTGGTTGTCACTAAATCTAAACTAGAAAGCAATTAAAAACTAAAAAGCAGTTGACAAAAAAAAACGAAAGCAAGTAAAGCAACTAAAAAGCGATTAAACTAGGCGATTGAAAACAAAGAACAAGCGAATGGAAAGCAAGCTAAATCGAAGGTTGTAAGCAATGAAAGAAAAACGTTGGGGTTCAAGGGGTTTCGCAGGGGTTCATAGTCTATTCTAGGTCGATTTTAAACAAGTGATAAAGGTAATCAACTACGTATGTTCTAGAACTCAAGGCACAAAAGTATGAATAGCCTACTTTCGCAGCACTAAACAACTATCTCTCGCAACCCTAATCAGTAGGTTTCCACTCTGATTCTGGAAGGGAGAAGATGCAATAGCAGAATAAGACTCATCAATATTCACAACTCAACTACAGGTAGGTTTCCACTCCTATAGAAGAATTGCTCGTTTCACCCTAGTTCAGACAATCAATGAAAGCTTTCGCAACATATCATATCAGATCGGCTTCTAAGTGGCCAGCAAAGAATCACGCAGTAAGATTAAAGGCAAACGAAGAACATCTAGAAGATTATAAATCCTAAATCTATCGATTCATAAGCAAAGACACATGAAATTCCCTTTGAAAAATCCCTTTAAACCCAACTGGGTAACTACTCAAACATATTGTAAACAATCATCACAGAGTATTGAAAGTTGCAGGAAATTAAAGAAAAAAAGGAAGAAGAACGAAGAACGGAAGCGACGACGGAGGCGCGATGATGCTCTCCTCGGCGGCGGCTCCTTCTTCTGATGCGGCGGCCTCCTCTAGGGTTCCAGCCGAAATCCCTCTCTCTCTCTCTAAGTTGTCTAAGTTTCGGTCTCCCCTCTTTAGAATGACCTAAAGGGGTATTTATAGCTTCTGGGGTGGTCGTGGACACTTAGGGCTTCAAAAATAACGAAAGGAATTGATATGGGCTTTAATTAAGTCGTCGGGAAAGTGAACGACCAAGTTCCGCGGTCGCGGTGGCTCTACCCGCAGGAAAATGGGTGTTGGCCGCGGTCTCGGCACATGCTCTCTTCCGGAACTGCATTTTCTATCATTCTTGCATAGGGAGTATCTGAAGATCTAATCGTTGGATTGTCATAGAAAGCTGGTTGGATCCTCTATGTTGTCTCAAAGTTTGGGGGTGATCAGACGGTGAGAAGGTCTTCATCGCTTGTCATACTTCTGACGGTCTGCATTTATCTAAAATTGCTCATTTGTTCCAAATTGCATATCTTTTGCCCAAGTTTCCTGTAAAGTCTCTTGAAACTCTAAAACATTGAAAACACTTTAAAAACATTGAAAACAGAGTTAAAACACCTGCATAAGACATTATTATGATCCATAAAAGTGGTCAAAATACAGTGTTATCAGACACACAATGTGCAAGATGTGGAGCGGATGAAGAAACAATAAATCATGTTCTTTTTGAATGTCCACCTGCCTTGCAAACTTGGGCACTATCCCAAATACCAGCATCCCCAGGTGTTTTCCCAATGAGTTCGGTTTATTTTTTGATCATCTTTTTTGGAAAATATCAAAAGACAGAAAAACATACAATTTCCATGGATTGTATGGTATATTTGGAAGGCACGAAATGAAAAAGTGTATTCGAACATTGATGTGGACCCACAAATTACCTTAAAAATAGCGAAAACTGAAGCGACATTGTGGGAAGAGGCCCAAAGCCTAGAACAGGATTCAGGGGACTCAAATCAAAACAGCTCTATGGAATCCTCATTATCTGTATCGTGCAATGGATGGTGGTGTTATATTGATAGATCTTGGAAAGAGACAGAATTATTGGCAGGATTAGGGTGGTATTATTTTAAAGAAGGTGTACGGGACAAAATCATGGGTGCACAAAGTGTTAGACGAAGTTTATCGCCTCTGCATGCAGAAATGGAAGCCCTCATATGGGCTATGCATTGCATGTTAGAGAACCATAAGACAGAAGTAGCTTTTGCAACAGACTGTTCGGAGTTGGTGAAGATGGTGTCTGCACCAGAAGAATGGCCAGCATTTGCTCTACACTTAGAGGAGATTGTGAAGATGAAGGACAGGTTTAGTTTTTTCACTTTATCACATATCCCATGCGCAAAAAACTCGAAGGCAGACAACTTAGCAAGGAGTGCTCGTGTCTACCCTTAGGAAATCATCTATATAAACTCAGTGCCACCGGTTTGGCTAGCCGAACCGTTCTAGGGACTTAGACTGTTGACAAAAAAAACAAAAAAAACAAAAAAAAACAAATATTATGTTTTGTACACGTAAAAAAAAAGTTATTAAAATATTTAGAAACCTAACTATACTTATAAGCCTAATAATTATGTTAATTATTGATTTTTATCCTTTATTATAGTGAAACATAAAATATATATAATAAAACTAAATTATAAACATATATTTACTAAAAATGATGTATTTTGTAGACGAAGTGATGTACTTTGGTATAACGTTTTTTTTTGGGTGGTGAAAATATTTGATTTGTACACAAACTTTATATCTCTTTCTCTTCTTATATAGAAGAGATATATATATATATATATAACTTCTTGATTTGTGTGAAGATAAAAGTGTCATCCTCTTGTTTTTATTAAATGTTCGCCCACTTGATATTTCTTCCACTTCTTTCTACTAAAAGACAAATAAATTGCAGAAAATAGCATCCACTTATTTTTCTATCCACCAAACAAAATGTTGAATGAGAAATAATGAATGGCCCATCTGCTTACGTGAGCCGTCCGTTTTTATTCAACTTACCATTCAGACCATTAATTGGTACATTTCCAGATAAAAAAATAAATATAATATGACTTTGTAGTGGTAAATATAGCTTATTGTAAAATTTATGTAATGTAACTTGTGAGTTATTTGACATTTTTATTTAATTTTTATAAATATCTGCTTCACTATCAATGTGATATTAGACAACATTAGTCACAAAGAACTTGAACCCAAAAGTGAGCACCAAGGAGTCAAAGAGTTAAGGAGCAAAGACAAGGAACAAAGATCTGATCAAGAAGAACCTTTGCTCATTTCAAATGGTCTTATGACCCGAGCAAAGTCCAACAAACTTAAGGAAGCTGTTAGAGACATACTTAAACAAGGAATGCTATCGGATCAAGAGGGAAAAGAGTTGGTTACAACTACACTAGTTGTGATTCAAGTTCAAGAGGGGTAATGGGCTTGTGATCTGACTATATATGTACTCTTTTTTTCTATCTCAAGTTTTGTCCCAGATGGGTTTTCTTGAAATAGGTTTTTAATGAGGCATAGTTTGGATCACCATCATCTAAACCTAATCAGTCGAGCCCAAGACGTGTGAAGAAGCGGAGCGTATGAGGAGAGTTTGAATCCAAGCTTAGCCAGCTTTCAAGTGATGGTTCCTAGATGTTTTAATGCTTTGTAGACTTGTCTTTTACTCTCTTTATATTCTCTTGTATCTCTTCTTCAGAAACCATATTATCTTTTATCTAAAAATATTTTCTAAGTTAAGATCAAACTTCTCTTGTTGGTGTGTCATATCCTTCAAGATCGATTCTTCTCTGGTGTGTTATATCCTTAGGAGTCTCAAACAAATTCATCAAGGGCCTTCCACAACTCTTGAAGTCTTACCAAGTCCACAAACCTTGAAGCAATTAATATTGTTTGCAAGGCTATCCCATTAAGATCCAATTTAGCGAGTGTTGATTTCAGGGAGAATCATATTAATTGGCATCAGAGCAAGCACTCAACCCACTGGATCATCGAAAACATCAGGTTGTATCTTATCTTAGGTGTTTGTCGATTAGTTTTGTGTTTTAAAAAGTTGATTTTATCATAATCATTCAAATCAGATCTGTTACTTGTGTGTCACTGCATTAAATCGATTTTAGTAACCCCTTTTCACAACGATTATCTGTGATCTAGTTTCTGATTTGCATCAAACCAGAATAGATCTAAATAACTCTTCAACTTCTATCATTCAATCTGAGACTTTCAAATCTGACTTTTTACATTCAAGTGTCATACTCATTTCCAAGAAGAAAAGCCTAGTTTACTTCCGAGGGTTAATATGAGGATGACATGTGTCATATTTTTTTAATTTAAAGTTACAATTTTATTAAAAAAATTTAATTAAAAAAATTTAGTATTAAGTTTTAAACTACTTAAAGAAAATGAATTTTTTATTAATTGATTCTTAAACTACATTTATGTAAATATTAAATAAGAATTTATGTTATAGTTAATTAAAAATATTGATGATTTTTTAATAAACTCTTAATTTTTTAATGATACTATATTTTAAATTGATTGATTTATAATAATACACTAATATCTAACAAATGAAATGATGATTATAGTTTTGTAAGAAAAATACAAAATATAGAAATTTAAAATAGTTTAAGAAAAAAACATGCAGATTTTCACCTAGTTATATATAAAGATGTCAAAAATATCATAACATAGCAAACTCAGGTGAACTCAATACTAAATGCTTACAAATTAAGTGATCAGCCACTGCACTACACTAACTTACCAAAATTTGCTGCCTTTATCATTTATATATACTCTTAGGCGCTTAGAAGTATAGCAAAAAGAATTTTTGTTTTCTTAGTCATAAAATAAAAACACATATATTTGATGAAAATAAGAGATCAAATCACAAGTACAAGAAATATTCTGAGAAGGCACTTAATTAGTTTCGTTAATTGACTTTTAAACATGAACTAGGCTAATATCCGCGCATACACTCGGGTTTTCTTTTTAATGATTTGTTTTTTTCTTTGGTTTTTAAGGAAAAATTTTAGATGTTATATTTTGGTGAAACCTATTGAATGAAAAGTTTATATATGTTTATGCTAAATAATTTTAAAGATGGCATGATTTTACCATCTATTTAATGGTTTTGGGAAGTATTATTTTTTTTACAATTTTAGTAGAGAAAAAATAGTGGAAGAATATCTAAAAGAAAAAAATTTTAGTGTGGTCGGCGATATATGTCCAGAAGTTGGTAATTCACTTTTTTTTTTTAAAGTTTACAGAAACAACCATAGGAACATCAAAACATATTTTTAACTGTTGTATTCAAGGGTGTGTACAACAATCGATGAAGACGTTATTTTGACACTCGTGTATTGCTTCACAAATATATTATGGTATTAAAAATAACAGAAATCGTGTTTCCTAGACATATGTATACCCAGCAAGCAAAACCAATCTAATGTCTGTCGTGTGAATCAATGAATCAAAGCTTCCAATTTAAGGAAAAAAAAACATCAAACACAATCCAAATTATGAAACTGACGAGCCAAAAACTTACTATAAAATGCACATGAGAAAGTGTGTGTAAGTGTACCGCTTCTTCATTTCTCTCATATGAACCAGAGATTTGTGAGAGAGAGTGAGACATTGGTGTTACCCAGAAGGAACAATGCGAGAATGACCGAACTATGAGTCCGATCCACATCCATTGTCGCAATTTTCTCTTGCTTTGTCGGTTCCTTAAAGGTAGAGGAATGGATTTTAACTTGTTTTGTTTGAGAAACTGTGTTAATGGTTTGTGGGATTTCTTGATTTGTTGACTCTCCTCCGCCGTTTGTTTCTTTGGAATTTATATCTCTGGGTTTTCGATCACAGTTTCTGATGTCTCAATTGGGTTTTCTGAAGTCTTTTCTGATGTGATAACCCCCTTTCTTCTCTCCTTCTTCCTTAGTTTCTTTTATCATTCCTACAAAATAGAGAACTGTTCATCAAATCAATGGCATGCTTAGTGTATTTGGATCATACTTGGGTCATGGCATGAGATATATGCTTTATATTTTTCAAAAGTTACCTTCTCCCTTTCTTCAGATTCCTTCTGAGCCTTAAGAGCAGCTCTTGCTTTTGCCTTTTCTTTTCTTTTCTTCTTCCTCTACATTGCTTCGTTTGCTTTTGCTATCTCCTCCAACATGCTGCTCCTTCATCTTTGCAGCTTCGTTTTGTTTTCTCTACTTCTCTTCTTTCTTAACCAACTCCTCTTCCTCTTTGGTTAACTTAGGTGGGCTCTTCTTCTTCCTTAGTTGCTGGCTTCTCTAACTCCTCTTTTCCAGAAACCAATTCCTTGACAATTGGTGGAGGCTGGTCTGGCTTGACGGCTTTTTTAGATTTAGTGGTCTGACTCTTCCGCTCTGCGGGTTTTGCAACATCCTTTCCATTGTTTTCAACTTTTGAACCTTCATATTTAACGACCTTACTTGCTCAGCTGAAACTGGTGGAGCTGTATCACACTGTCATTAAGTAAGAGTCATCTGGTTTTAAAATTGACTTGCATCTTACATGGTAGTTTCAGAACTCCTTGTTGCAACATATTCATGAAATTATATAATGAGTGCAAAACCGACATACATGGATTTAAAACCATTGTCGAAATTTGGCTTTTTGGTCAGAAGACTCAGAACAAAGGCTTTGGAGGGCTGCTCCGTCTTTCTTCAAAGCCATTACATTTGCTGCCTTGAATCATCTTTGTACTTGAAGAAATATTAGTTCTGTAATATGAAAGAAATATCAAAAGTGGATGATTAATCTAAAACATAGATGTAAGCATTCGTAAATACATGTCCGGTTCCAAAAGCTCTTTGGTATCTTCTCTCGTTGTTGTTTCTTCAAGTCTTGTAGATGCGCAAATGCTTCCTGGCAAACAGCATCTACAGTTCTGTATTGTTCTTGCAATTTACTTGCATATCCCATTCCTCATCACACTTTTTTAGCAGCTTTTTCCACTGCTTGAGCTTTTGAGAGATGTTTTTAAGCACGTCTAGTATCAGAACTGCAGAAACAGTTAATCACATTTGGTCACCGAATTTCATTTAGGATAACTACATATAATAAAACGAAAGCAAGTCTCCTACAACATATGAATCTTTTCTGAAATTTCTGCATCGTTTATGTGATTACTTCAAATCCCTACCCATCTATTTGGAAAAATTTTGCCTTTCAGTTGACCCAGAAAGAGCTTAATCCCATCTTATTTTCATCGCTCATACACAGAATTTTACATTAAACAATGTGAAAATGCATTTAAGAAAATAACTTTTAAAGAAACAGTAAGGAGAGTAATCTCACAGATTCCTAAATTTGTCAAAGACCAAAGGCTTAATCTCATCCCATCACTGAAATATGTCTCCAATTCGATCAGATCAGAGCTGAAGGATGTCTCCACTGTTTTCCTTTAGTCATTGTGTAATGTCGAGAAGCTGATGGATGTTTCTGTTGATCAGATCCGCGTATCGTAACACCCAGATCTAAACTGTAGTGATCGTTTTCAAAGAGTGAAGCGGATAGAAGAGATAATCGAGGGTTTGAAGGTTTATATTCTTTTTTATTTTCTAAGCACAAAGATTTTAACGGATAGAGAAAGAGAAATACGCAAAGCTCCACTGACGCCATGGATTTTGTAACTCTTCTGCTGGAGGAGAATGAGTCGACAGATTTCAGATTTTGAAATCCGATGAAGTTTAGGCTTTGAATGGTGTACAAATCATATAATGCAGATCATTTTAAGCAGATCAAAAAAATATTAATAAAAAAATAAATAAACTCTGCATGCAATACTGGGTGAACAGCTACTATTTTACAGCAGTTCTGGAAAAATTTATTTTTTTTTGATTTTTAGAGTATTAAAGATCTGCATGCAGATCTATTAATTTTATATTAATATATTTTGTTCTGTATAAAATTTGTGAATGATAAAAAAGAGGATCATTTTATATACAGATTAACTGCATTTTTTCTGCATTTATTCTGCTATCCATTCAAAGCCTTAGACTTAACAAAACAACACAAAATAGAGATTAATGAAAAACAGATAATCGTTTACGTTTTTTTTTAATTAAAACTAAAGGACACGTGGCGGCTTTTCCAACGCTGACGTGGTAAGCTGATGGAGAAAGTTATCCCTCTTATGTCTATTAGACTAATAGGAGAAGACCCGTATAAACACGTGGCTTTGTGTAATAGAGATAACTTTTATTTGTTTTTATTGATATATTTGTTATTGTATTTTTTTTATAATAAGGTTTTTATATTTAATTAGAGATTTAATTAAAAGCCCAACTTGAGTAGAATATTTAATGCAATAGGTGAGTAATAAATCATTACTTGAAGCAGATAATTAAAATGGCAGAAGACATAGTGAAGGTAGAAATAAAAAGTCTTAAAACAGATGCAAGTAATCAGCGAGGGAAAGATAGAGTAGATGATAGTGATTTCATTTCTAGGGGTTAATGCAAAAAATGCATTAATTATGTAAACAACAAAAATAATTTTTTTTAAAAGATGAGGAGTGTTAATGTGATACAATCATTACATGGATCAATGATTAGTAAAAGACTCGAAGGAATATTTAACTTGAAAGCAGAGTGGATTAGTTTTT